AAAGATCATCTAGTCCAATCCCCCTGCCAGAGCAGGAACCTAAATGAGATCACATAGAAAGGCGTCCAGGTGGGTTTTGAATGTCTCCAGAGAAGGAGACTCCACAACCTCCCTGGGCAGCCTGTGATCCTTATGAATAAATTGCTGCAATAAAATGCAGCCCTCTAGCCAAAACTGGCTGGACTCTGTTCTCACTCCTGCTTTGTTTAGCATGTACATAGCCATAAAAATTGCTCTCCTGCCAAGTCTGCTCCTTGTATGTATGTACACGTGCTCCCTGTGAGTGCCACTGGTTCTGCTGCCCTGTGGCTGTCTTCCGCATTGCACTCCCCTCTTGCACAGGGAAAATGTCCTTTTCACATTTATATATAGATATTTAGAAATACTAGGGGATTAGTGTCAGGTGCAACCACAACAGATAAATTCAGGCTAAACCCTGTGGAGTAACCAACATGTTTTACATGACGCAGGTTGTTTCTAGCTCAACTTGGGAGAGCTCTAAGCAATAATATTGATTAAAAGTTTGGGAAGATCATACTGTTGAGAAGAAGCTAGCTGAGGAGGTGTGTTTGCACAGAGAGGAGCACTACTGAGTGGTGAAGGGAGGCTGTCGTGAGACAACTGCAGTGAGGGTGCAGTCTTAAACGAGGATGAGCAGTAGCGAAATCCAGTTGCAGCAGGGAAGATGTGGATTGAGATTAGGGCTGTTGAAGAAATAGCCAAAGGAGGCTGCAGAACTGTAATTGCCTAGAGGAAAAAAAAAAATAGGGTGAGATCAGATGTCTACGTCAGCCTGTGAACCAGCTCAGGGCTGGAGGCTTCATCTCCAACATCTTCTAGCCCAGTGATTTCATTGTGTAGACAGAGAGTAGATCCAGCTTCAGCAATGCTTCCTCTTGTTGGTTTGGATATCCTGTGTGTCATCCCTGTGCGGCATCAACGAGGCGTGGAAATTCCTTCTTTACAAGAAACGTGTACAGTTACTGGGAAACCTAATGAAAAGGCGTGCAGTGGGAATCGTAGACAATGACAGATCAGGGTGAGTCATGGAGACTCACTCATGTTTATAAAAGCTCTGCAATAAAGGTGGTTTTAGGTGGTCTCTTTTGTGCTCCATGTGTGTGGTTGTATTTTGAGGCTTTTAGCCATTTAGGAATTTAGTGATTTTGGGATCACTGGATATACTTTCTGTATGATTCTTTTTTTCCATTTTTTCTATGAAAATGAGATTTGGCAGGTCTAATGTTGCTTGGCACATCTCTCTAGCAGCTGGCTGCTGTTGACTTGACAGCACTTTGCTCTTATTCTTTGACCAAAACTGTGGAGTTTCATTTTTAGCAAGCTGTTTGTTTATGCTATAATGTCACTTGGTGTCTGTCCTTGTGTGGGCTTCTAGCAGGCAACTTTGCTGAGCTGAACTGGCTGTATGATCTGCATCCTTGTTGCCTCCTGGGATGTTGATATATTCTGTGATTTTGGGCAGGTCCTGTTTTGGAAAGGTGAGGCATGGGTCACGTCCATGCTGGAAGGTGATACTGAGCTGACAAGGATTTGATCCTCTTGCAGGGAGAACAAATGGTCGTGAAGTCTGGAAAAGGGGCGAGGGGCAAAAAACCCAGGCAGCAGAAGTTAGATCTTTCAAGAGCTGTGGAAGACAATGCTTTCTGTTGACCCTTGAAGGAAGGCTTTGCTTATTTCACAATGTTATTCAACATGTTGAAAATTTCTCTTCCTTGGTTTCAGCTCAGGGCGTGTTATTTGTTTTATTTTCGAGCTAGTCATGTGCTTAAGGTTATGCTTAAGCTTAATCCTCATGACTAAAAATGGTCTTAGAGCTGCACATGAGCATTCAGCACAGAAGTGCTGTCTGCTTGTTGGTGACCCTGGTGCGTTTCTCTGTCCTGCCAGTTTGACTGGCTGTGCTGTCCCAGGGATGGGAGAAGGAACAGTGGTAACTGTTTGACAGGAAAGTGAGGAGCAGAATTTTCAGGCATACTTACAAACTAGATGAGTGTGACAATTACTGTATGCAAGAAAGAAGTCTCTGTTGTCTGTAGTTATTCATTATTGGTGTTATGCTATTTAACACTTCATATCTGATGACGTAAACATCAAAAAAAATTACTACCATCTTGGTCAAAGGATATTTTGTGCATTAAATGTAATAACTAAAAACACCAAAGAACTGGTGGTATGGAAAACGAAACTCTGGGCTAGGCTGGAAGTAGTTGTTTCACTTTATCTTCTGAAAACTGCTTCCTTCTGAAGCATGAGGAGGAGCAGCTCTGCTTGCTGATTTTGCTTGACTCTTTTCCCCACCCCATGGACATTGCCCCCGTGATTGTCCCCTGTGTGCTTGGAAGGTCATTGTACAAGATTGTTCTTGGCCTGTATGGTTGGGTTTTTTTGTTTGGTTGTTTTTTTTCCCTTCCTCAGAAAAACCCAATTTGAAAATCTCTACGAAAGCATTTCTAAAGCAGAAATGGAGACACTGAGTCTTCCAGCCATTGGAAGAGGCAAGGGAATTCAGTGTAGGTGCTCAGGGCAGAAGGCTGTCCTGTCACTTGAAAGCTGTAGGAAAGTTATTGAGTGACCAGGTATCTTACTAATGGTATAGAGGATTGGTAAACTCCTTGTTACAAGTACGTGCAGAAATTTGGCAAGCCTCATGGTGTTTGAGGTTTTCATTTAAAGCCTTTGATCCTGGCAGCAAATAGGTAAGGCAGTTTCAAGGGCTTGCTAAGTCTTTTGACTTCAAGGTTGTGCAGAAAAGCTGTAAAGTCTGGAAGAAAGCTCAAGACCAACAAAACTAAAATAAAAGTGCAATGGGGTAACTCTTCGAGTACCCTCTTCTGCCCTGCTTCCCTTAGCAGTGACACTTTTTGATGCCTGGTGTTTGCAAACCTGGAGCTGCAATGTTCCCAGTGACAGGGGAGGTTGATAGCCCGGGCTGACTGCTCGATCCCCAGGGCTTTTGCAAAACATCACAATGAAAGTCAGGCCCTGCAAAATCCTGAGATTGCCGTCAAAATCAGGAGATGTTTAAAAGGGGGGTTTAAAAATAGGACAGGTGTTTTTTGTGGGAACCTGGGTCACTAATGCCATGTGTTTCTCTCTGTAGTTGCGAGGCCTGAAGTTTTGAGTTGGATGGGTAGGGTGGTTGAGGGTCTCTGGTGTACTCATCTGCCATGAGAAGGTTCTGCTGATCAAGGGTTCCCAAGGAGTGCTCAGCCCCACTGCCCTCACCAGCTGAGCCCCTGGGTCTCTGGGCTCCAACCAGCCTCCTTACCACCACCACGGTGACAGCAGCTGCCATGGGCCAGAAGGGATGTGTAGGTGCTCAAGGAATGGCGAGCGGTTGGGCAGAGCCCAGGGCACCCTGCAGATGTGCATTTCTGAGCCAGCTGTTCTCTCGCACCATCCTGGCATGCTGCCTGGCAATGGGAATGGCTGCAGGGCCTTTCCCGGTGTGCCATGCTGCTGGGTTCATGAGGGTAAATCTCTCTTTATTGGGGGTAATGAACAAGAGGATTCCCAACCTGGCATGCAGAACATTGTCATGCAGCCCTGCGTGATGTCCTGCTGCAGGAACAGACCTTTTTGAACAGAACTTGGGGTGCCTTTATATCTAGATTTCTTGGGGTTTTTAACATACATAATTTTTTTTTCCCATAAGCACAAAGGGCACAAGTGCTGTACGGAAGATTGTATCTTCTGCACACTTAAATAAGGAGGGGAAAGTAGTGAAAACAAATGGTGGAAAACTTACCAGCTACATGTCCTCAGATTTTTGCCTGGGACTGGGATACGGTTGACTTCAATGCAAACTTTATTCCCTTCAGCCAAGGCTGGGCTCAATCTTTGCTTTGCATCAAACTGATGCTAATAACTTTTCTACTCATCTTGAGTAGTGTTTCTTAGTGTCTTATATTGTGTGTATGTTTTTAGAAAACAGTCAGGTTTGATTTTTTGATACCCATTCAATATGAGAAAATAATTTGTCCTGTGAGAACTGCTCCTGCATTTGGTAGTGCTTGAGGATGGCTTGAAGCATGTGAAGATTTAGGCTATTTTGTATTCCCCAAAAGCTGTTAAGTCTATGGTGGTCATGTCAGGGATGGAGAGGAGGTATCCAAGCACACACAGTACATCCCAGGCCACAGATGCCTTCTGTGCTGCTGAGGCATTGCATGGATGCCCTATACCTTCAAGGAATGAGTTGTAAAAGGTGGAGAGGGGGGGAGAGGGCCATGACCATGTGTATCTATCAGCCATCGCTTTATCGCTTTCTTACAGAAGCCTCTTGTGTGTAGGAAGATATTTCTGGCTTGTTTGTTTCTTCCTTGTCTTGAGGACTGGACAGCTTTCTCGTAGAGCAAACCAAACTGTGAAGTAGCTAATGCTGTGTTAATAACTAGGAAGAGCCAAAACTCTTAAGTGTCTGTTGGTATGTGCTTTTGGTGTCGCTGGAGTACCTTGTCTGGTCTGCAGTAATTTTTGAGGCATATCCAGAGATTCACCTGTTACTGCTGCGTGCAACTAAAGTTGAGGCTTGCTTTGTTGTTCGGCTGCTGAATAAACTTCCTGAATTGAGTCACAACTTCATTGAGTGCCTTCAGAAATGAAGCAGGTTCTATGATGGGCATAACAGACCAAAAACCAAAATCTGGACAACAGAAATTTGAAAGGAATAGCTGAGCTACTTTTTTAATGCAAGATAAATAACACTGGTGAAGGCAAACTGGAGCAGAACTGGTCCTACACAGATTCCATGTATGACTCTCTCTGGACACATGCAGCAAGCGTATTTCTGTATCGTCTGTGCTGGGCTGGAAGAGCCAAGGCATTTTCTGTAGGTCAAACACCAGAGACTTTTGAGAACGTGGATGCAATTATTTCTTCTGGCAATGTGGCATCTATGGGGATGTCTGGAGATGCTGGTGATACTCATACATGCTAGTGATAAAACACTTTTTTTTTTTTTTTCTTCCTTTTTTTAGCTTCCTTTACGATCCCTCTCCGTACAGTGGACAACATCACAGTTATGATTAAACTGAGACCTGGTGTTTCAGCAAGCTGTCAAATTCGTGTTAAAAATTTAATCAGGTCTGAACTCAAGATAAAGCCTGGGGAGAACGTGACTTTTACTTTCACCTGTAGTACTCCAGAGAAGTATTTCATAATGGAAATTCGGAAAAATATTGGTAAGATACAGACTTTTGAATGTTTTCCCCAATGGTAATTTTCCTCCAGTAAAACCACATACCTTTTTTTTCCTGTTACTGTATTAGGGTGACCCCTATAATCTTGGGTAAGAAGATAGCTTTGAACACTGACAAATAACCTTGAACTACTGAAACTATGTGTGGTTGCTAGCACTTGGTGAGATAAGAACAATTGAATAATTGAAATAAAATAAAACTTAAAATAATACTGATATTTAAAATAGTAATGATAATAATAGTAATAAAATATGGAAATGAGTGATACCCAGTGCCATTGCTCACCACCCGCTGACCAAGCCTGGCCCGTTCCCAGATAACGATCCCGGAGGAGCGACAATCCCGATCCAAAACCGCAATCCCGCAATTGCTCACCACCCACCAACCGAGCCCGGCTTGTTCCCAGGTGACGATCCCGGAGGAGCAACAATCCCAAACCGAAACCACAGTCCCGGAAGAGCAAGAGCTCGAGCGAAAGCCAGAGAGAGCTGAGAGAGGAAGAGACCCTCACTAATATGCTGAACATTACTTTATATGATATGCAATATTCCACTGGAATATCCAAATGCCAGTTTAGCTTATTAACTTAAATATTCTTTGCCCCCTTAGATCTTGCTCTTGTAGACTAAATAAACACAAAGTCCTTCACTTCCAGGACAAAAATGAAAGCATTGGTATGATATCAGCATTTCTGTCATAACAAATCCCATGCTAAAAGCAAAACACAGCTCTATTCTAGCTACTGAAAAGAAACCCAGCTCTGTCCCAGCTAAAAACCAGGACAATATGCAAGTTGAAGAAGTCTGTATTAAGGCTGGCAGAATCAATGTTAACTTGGCTGTTTTGGAAACAGTGAAATGATATTTTGTTGCATCAATTCCTTGCTGCCTTCCCTTTTCTCACAGCTTATAAACCTATGAAAGAATCTTTTTTTCTGTCAAAACCCTCTGAGCACTGTTAATGATATATTACCCACATTAATTGTTGAACAGCTTGATTGTGTCTATAAGGGCAACAGAAACATTGAAGACATACACATGTTTCCTTAGATATAATGAACATTATTGAGGTCAAGAAACAGAAAATTTGGAAATGTAGTAACTAAAGCTTTGTTTGCTTTGAACATTCTCCTTGGTGTATGTCTGTTAATGTTCTCTCTAATGGCGTGGACACGTGCTACTTCTCAACAAGATCCCAAACTTCATTGGGTATTTGGGCTTTGGTGACATCTTCATTATTTTTGGGTGTAGTGTTCGAGGATAATTCTCTTCACATTTCGGAGTTTTATTTGTATGCTTCATGCAAATAGTAATGTTCACAGTATTTCATTATGTATTTGTGAGATGCACTTGTGATATTTCTTCTTTTAAGTTGGAGTCTAGACATAGATTAAAGTATGCTTATTTTTAGTGTCCAGCTTGAAATACCAATAATTTGGATTTCTCCGAGAAAAGTTTTCTAAGTTCTCACCAATCCTGTGGTGGTACTTGTTGTTATTCATCACTTCTGCAAAACCTAGGGCCCACGTTGTTCATCAGGGCACTAAGGAAATGAAGATACAGCTTATAGCCAACAGTGGAAAACTTAGAGATGAATGGTTTGCCAGGAATTCTCCAAGCAAGGTGGGATAAAATTGGTTCTCCAGAACAATGATTTCCAGCTTTCCTGACATTGCGTTTCTCCCTTTTGCCCATTCAGTGCTCTCCCCTGTTCACTAAATACCTTCTAAATTCTTTAGCAAACAAGGTGGGAATGATAGAGACAATTAATCCCTTCTATTAGTCAGCCTGACTAAAGCAAGTTTGTCCTGTCTACTCCATGGGCGAGGAGTCCTATTTAGAGAAAGCATGTGACTCTGTTATTCAAGCGTCTTTTAATGCATGTAGAAAAGAAGTTAAGTGCAACCTAAAAATTGTGAAAATAGCTATGAGGAGGAAAGTGTCAAATCCCTCCTTTACTGGAATGCTCTCCAGAGTGTATCATGGCTGTTCTCTCTCTGCATTTAGACTGTGTGTCAGGCCCGTGTCCTTTTGGAGATGTTCATCTTTACCCAGTGGGGCTACCTCGCCTTAATAGGACTTTCATCTGGGATGTGAAGGCGAGTACAAAGGCTGGACTTGAACTAAAATTTTCTAGCCCGTGGCTAAGACAGATTGAACCGGGAGAGACGTGCCCAGATTTCATTAGCTACAACATCAACAGCTGTATCGATATGGCCACGGTCAACATTGGCACCTTCTGCAGGAACGGCTCAGTGTCGCGCGTCAAGCTGCTGGGAGGAGTCGTCATGTCTCTGCACCTCCCGTGGGACTCATCGCTCACCACTTCGGGCTTCAGCATAGCTAACAGGGCTTCCATAAAACGTAAGTATGGAGTAGTGTTTCCTCACCTGTAATCACTTCCTGCAGATTGCAGCACAGTTCTTTAAACCTTTCTTCTCAGGTAACCTTCTAGTTTCAGTGATGCTGTCCCTAATTCCCTTCTACTTAATGTTTCCTAAATGCTGCTGTTGTGTCCTTTTTAGTTTGGTAGCTCTTCTCTTAGTTGGATTGGTTAATAATTACAAAAACTGTTCTGTTGCTGCTTTTGGTGCACATTACTCATTTTCAATCTCTTTAAACTTCCTAAAACTTAAACGTATCGGCTCTGTTGTTTTTGTGTTTTCAGCTAGGTGAGCCTAGATGGCATAATTAGGATGATCCAAGAGAGTTATTTGCTTATTGCAGTGTGTAGTAGGGTTTGTTTATTTTTTTAAATAAAGCTTCCTTAACTTGCTGGAATCTCAAATCACTGCCTCTCTTCAGGAGAGGAAGGTGGGGAAAGGGGAAGCAGTGCCTGGAAGGCACATGAGGCTGCTTAAATATCTGTCTGTTTCAACCTGCACAGTAACAAAACATTGTGTAATAATCTTCTTAAAACACCTGGAATGTTATATAGCAATCAGTGGCTTACTTTGTGATCTCATGACAAACCCTCTCTGAGAGATGTTCTTGCCCTTTACTTGAATTCTGCAGTTGTTGCCATCAGTTGTAGAATGGACCTGGTCCAGGTTTGAGCTTCTAGAACACAAGTTTTTGTAACTCCTGGCACTCTTTGCAGTTGCATGTTATCGCTGGAGTCCTAGAGTGGGACTGTAACCTCTGTGTACCCAACTTCACGCTGCCAAGAGTCATCCAAGCATAAAGTGTCTTACACAGTCTCCATGGTTTGCATTCGTGTTTTCTCATGCGTATTTGAGGCCCTTTGTTGGCATGCTGGTTTTGGATCTGGGAGATTTTTGGACTAAGAGCTCTGTGCTGGTATAAAAGTTCACATCTTTTGTTTCCTGAAACCCAATGATGCAGAAGCAGTTGTCAGGTTGTGTGTTTGCTCTTGTAAAGCCAGGAGCACAAGTAGGAACTAGCATCTTTCCTTTCCAAAAAATAAAGGCTATCCATGTTCTTGAAAGGTGAACCCACTAAACAGGATGTAATTGAAGACAAAAGCATCAACTTGAATGTGTGTTTTAGTATGAGGGTTTTGTAATAACCTAACCTGTAGCTGAAGTGGATGATCTCACTGTCAAAATAAAAATACTCAGCTGCTGGGGTGCTACATCTACCAATGTGTCTTCTCTTTTGTATGTTTTTTTTCCTCCCCATGTTTTAGGCTTATGCATTATTGAATCCATTTTGAAGGGGGAGTCTTCAATCACCCTGATGTCCCCAAACTACCCACTGGGCTTTCCAGAAGATGAGCTCATGACGTGGCAGTTTGTGGTTCCTTCCAACATGAGAGCAAGCGTCTTTTTCCACAACTACAGCCTCTCCAACTGCGAAAGGAAAGAGGAGAGGGTGGAGTACTACATCCCTGGCTCCCTCAGCAACCCCGAGGTGTTCAAACTGAGCGACAGCCAGCCTGCCAATATTGCTGGCAGTTTCAACCTCTCCCTTCAGGGCTGCGATCAGGATGCTCAGAACCCGGGCATCCTCCGCTTGCTCTTCCAAGTTGTTGTTCAGCACCCACAGGTCAATGAGAGTAAGTACCTGCCTGCCTCTTCCATTGCTTTTGCTTACAGACATTCAGGCTGAGCACCACACAGAAGGTAAATGATGGGGTTTGTCATTTTTCTTGAACTTTGGGCCCTCCTTGAGTTTGAGGAGGTGAGTTGCCAAGCAACGCTGGGGCCTGTTCTGCTGCCCTGGGTGCTACCAGCCGTCGTTGCGGCAAAGTGGATGGTGACCCTGAATTTTGTCATTTGCAACAGAGTATAAAGCTCCATCATAGATTTTACACTGGAGCTTGGAAGTGGAGAATTCCTTTCCTTTTCCAGTGCCTGCACTGCGTAATTGAAAAACACCTTTAACACTTGTGGTGTCAAGTCTTGCAGGTTGTATGAACAAAGCTAAGCACTGGGGAGCTTTTCCTTGCAACTCTGGGGCCTGATGCAACCACTGGGCAAGGACCATAACTGCTTGATTGGAATTGTCTGGACTCACGTGTTACTGCCTGTTCTCCAGTATGGAAATCAAGTTTGAACTTATTCCAACAATTTTATTTTCAGCTGTAAGATTAAATGTTTTAAAGATAATTCTTAATATGTGAGCCCAGGTTTCTGCTCTGTACCTAAGCAGTCATGCTTAGCCTGGTGAAACCTGCTGTCACGACTGGTCAAGATCCATAGCATGAACTGGTGAAATTAGGACCAGTATTATTCAATATATTTATA